TTTTTATCTTAGTTACAATGAGAATGCTTTTCTTTTATGAACATCTTTGCATACTAGACCATATTCTCATTAATGCTTGTAGTGATTAAATGTTATAGTGAAAATCTTTTTTGCTTGTGACATAAAAAAAAAAAATCACATTTTGTGAGCAAAAAAAGTCGATCTAAAACTTGAACTTTGTTCTTTTTTATTCGATGAAGTTTGCGCAAGAGTTTTTAATTTTTTTAATCAATATCTAAAAATAAAGAAAAAAAGCAAGTTTTTAAAGCAATACTAATGAAATTATACTTTTGCGTCGTTAATTGGTTTTGAAAAAAAAGTTTTTAAAAGTTTTTTTCTCTCTTTTTTTTTCCTTTAATTTCTAAATATGAAGACTATATATGATTTTTAAATATAAAATCCGAGTCAAAAATTTTAATTTTAGGAACTTTTGTTCTCATAAATATTTTTTTTTATTTTTAAATGATTTATGATTATAATACTTATGAATTGCCTAATTCATTTTTCAAATTCCTCTGACAAATTATTGTATTCATTGGTGAGTGTGTTCAGGGACAATGTTGTGCATTTGATATGTGTGTTTTGGGATGATGTTTTGCATTTGTAAATTATAACAATAAAATGCCACTTAATGGAAAAAATCTTTATAATGAAATAATTTTGAAAAAGTTATCTTTGTGAAAATAAAAAAAATTGGAAATTATATATATATATATATATATATATATATATATATATATATATATATATATATATATATATACATACTATTTGTATATATATATATATATATATATATATATATATATATATATATATATATATATATATATATATATATATATATATATATATATTTACTATTTGTATATATATATACAAATAGTGTGTGTGTATATATATATATATATATATATATATATATATATATATATATATATATATATATATATATATATATATATATATATATATATATTATATATATATATATATATATATATATATATATATATATATATATATACACATATATATATGTATGTATGTATGTATGTATGTATGTATGTATGTATGTATGTATGTATGTATGTATGTATGTATGTATGTATATAGTTAAATTGAAAAAAATAATTTTCAGTTTTTTTTTGTCTCCATTCAATTGTTGAACTTATAAATTTTATAGATTTGAAAATGAGTGAGAAGCTACAGTCAAAAGTAAACAAGCAAATAAATATTCTTTATAAACTTAATAAAGAAAGAGAAGAACTTGAAAAAGAGTTGGAAAAAAAAAGTAAAGCTATTGAAGAGGTTGCCATAAAATTACAAAACTTATGCCAACAGAAAGAAGAATTAAGGTCTGCAAATAAGAAAAATAATACTATACTTTCACAAAGTGCTGAACATTCATCAAAAAAAAGTTTTGAAAAAAAAATAAAAGAATGTTTAGAAACGAGCTCTTCAGATATTTTAAAAAAGAAAATTGTAGATTGTTGTATGGGATACAGTGGTCATGCAATAAATAATTACAAAAGTACTCAATCAAAAACAACTTTGAAAAACAAAACTCTTTTATCAAATCAGTCGGTTGAACTCCAAAAAGATTGTTCTTTGTTCTTAAATAGTTTGTCAGCAGTTTCTTGATTTAAGGTAAAATTTAAAATCTTTTTAAAGCTACCTGTCAAATGAAATAATTAAAATAAACTGTTATATATGTATGTAAATTAGGGTGAAAAAAAAGTTTAAAATTTTTTTTTTTTATTCTTAAGTGGTCAAGAAGTGCTGCACGTAAATTTTAAAACTGTGCTTTTTTTTTTTTTTTTTTTTTTCTTCACTATAAAACATGTTTTAAAAATACAAGAAGTTTCTCAAAAATTTAAAAACACAAGATGTTTTTCAAATATTTAAACACACAAGATGTTTCTTAAATATTTGTGGCCATTCTTAATTAGCTTTTAAACAGTTTAATTACAGTGTGATTTTTGTGTATTTTTTCATCACAATACAATCTTTGATTTGTTTTTATGTTTAAACTAGTAAACAATTTTTACAGCTATCCATACAAAATATTGAAAGTCAAAGGAAAGAATGAGCTTTATAATTCAAATACAAGAAAATAAGTTTTAAATAATTAGATGTTGGCTCAATGACAATTATAAAAGTGTGTTAGAACTTTCAGATCAAAAAATACAACAGTAAGAACTTTCAGATCAAAAAATAAATTTCTGGCAACAACAACAACAATGACAAGCTATTTATTTTCTGTAAATCATTTTTACAATAGTTCTAATAATAATAAAAGTATTATTAATAACAATATTAGTAGTAATAATAACAATAGTATATAATAATAATATAAGATAACAAAATTAATACAAATTATGGTAATAGTAATAATAAGTATGTTTGCAATAATTACAATGAAAAAATAATAATAAATATTATAATGGTAGTTATAGTTACAATTATTTATAAAAAGAAGTTGATGATTTATTAGAGTGGTGTCATTCATACAGAAATCTGATCAAAGGAGTGACACTAGAAATCTAATCAAAGGAGTGACACCAGAAATTTGATCAAAGGAGTGACATCAGAAATCTGATCAAAAGACTGGACACCAGAAATCTGATCAAAGGAGTGGTCACACCAATATTTAAATACAATAAAAGTAATAATAAGTAAAGGTATGCATTAAAACCCATGGACCGTGAACACATAGATTAAACCACATAGAATACACATTAAAATTAAACATGTAGAATTCATATTTTGCAGGTTGTGATGATAAAATAAGAAAAATATAAACAAACAAAAATTACTGATGATAATTGTAGTAATAACGAAAAGAAAATTAAAAGAATATTTCAATAATAAGGATAATAATGTCTAAAAGTTAGAATGAAATGTTTTTCAGAATTTTTTAAAATTACTTATGTTTAAGATGGAGTAAAGGTATTTTAGGATGTAGTCATTCAAAATGCATACAAGGCTTCTGTTCCATTAACAGACGTACTGATAAACATTTGAATGTTTACCATACTTCTGGGTTATAAAAGATGGCACATTTAGTTTTGCATTGTATATATTTCTAGTAGAGTAGGAATGTACTAATCTACTTTCTGTGAACAAGTTTGTAACAGAAGTTACAAACTTACCATGGTAAGTTTTTATTTAAAGATCAAAAACAAAAAGAAGATTAGCATACTTTACTAGTGCTGGAAATAATGGGATGAAAAGTTTTTTGAAGGACTCCAATGTATCTGATTTTTTGAGTTGGAAGTTTATTAATCTAATGGATTGGCACAAGACTTGTTAATGCAATACGTTAATGCAGTAGTTTTTTTTATAACTTAATCCCAAACTTGACAACAATAGCTAAGATTAGATGAGGGATTAGATCTTTTTTAATTAGATTTAAAAAATTTTAATTAGTTCAAAAGTGTAACTTTAATGACATAATGACAAATTATTGAAAGCTCGAGTTTCTTTCTTGACAGCCACAAAAATTACTTATATGATAGAGCAATTGTTTGACATAATATTAGATTTTAAGAAATGCCTCACTTACTTTGCCTCACTTCTGCTGTATAGGAAAATTAAGCTTTCTTATTGTTTTTTTAGGCACAAAGCTTGAAATATGGTTTCTGATAGATTGATAGATACAAGAGAATAATACAAACATTGAGTACAGAAAAGCAATGATTCAATAGTTCTTGATGATGACCAATAGTGCATGGCTATTTTAGTTAAAATAGTGTGTTTTTTTTTCAAATGTGTAGCTGAGCTAATAATCTTTATGCTAATTTATGCTGCATGTTTAAATGTTGAGTCAAAAGTTCTATTAAAAATGTTCCTATTAAAAATGTTAATTTTTTTGGAATCAAGCTCAAAATATAGGTATCAGTTTAGATCAGCAAACCTTAGACTAAAAATGAATATAACTAGGAAAAGTCTCATTGCAGCAACATCTTTGGCCAGTATAAGGGACAGTCTCAGCATTCAAAATCGAATCTTTTTATTGCTAGTGTAGTGAATTAACTTGGAGTAGGTGTTAGACAGCTAAAGTTAAGCAGAGGATCTGTCAAATGAAGACGTTACAAATTTTTAGCAGAGAAAAGGGAATTTAAATATTGATACAGAAGTGGAATTTAAATATTGATTTAAACACTGGTGAGAAGTTGGTTGTATATTTTGATGATAAAATTTCAAAGCATATTAAGGAGTACAGTAGACAGACTATCAGTATCTGTAACTAACCCAAAGTTTGAACCAAAGATGATATTCTTTTAAGTGTCATACCATTTGAGAGAAATATGGTTATAAGAATCTCCTAGAAAATTTTGGATTTGCTGACATTATTATAGAATTCTGTTCTTATACCACAATAAATAACACTGGATTTTTTAGTTCCTACACAATAACCATTTTTTGGTTATTGTGTAGGAACCATATTGCAGAGATAAATATTACTTACTAATTAAACAGTTTCTAATGTAAAGTCTAAATCCCCTGCTAATAAGTTGCTAAAAGATTTTCATCAGAAACAAAATATACATTCAAAAGTTTCAGTTGATAGTAGAAAATTTCAAATGATTTCATGAGTAAGTCCTTGTTGTTGTCTCTAAAAACTCTTATTTGAAAACTAAAGAATTTGTTCCAAATGCACTAGAACATGAAGTTTTTCGCAGTCTTCCTAATGATTTAAATGTATTTAAAATTGCTAAATAAAAAAATAATATAAATAGAATGAGATCATGAAGTTAAGAACAGCATTAGTAGCCACACATGGTATTTATCTTCTAAAGTTATGCACTATTGTTAGTTGATCATCTCCTAAAGTTATTGTAATATTGTTAGTTGATTATGATCAGAAAGTAGATGCTAAGTTTTAAATTATTAAGACACTTTTAAATTTTCTGATTCTTGATTTATCAGGGATTTCTGTAGAAGTTCTTTCTGCTGTTATTGTCTCTAGTGATAGTAGATAAGACTTTTTTTACACTTACAGGTCACACCAATTCTGTTTGAGAATAGTCTTCAAGTAATTTCTCAGCATTAGGTAACATTTCATTCAATTAGTTAGCAAGCTTTGTGTGACCAATGACTGTGCAGAAAGAAATTTGTTTGATTGAAAACTTTTTTTTACAGTTCTCACAATAAGGATTAAAGACAGAACATTCTTTATTAGTCAGAGAAAATAGAAAGTTAATAACAAAGGTATTCCTATCTAAACTGCTGAAACCTTAAGTTGGATAATTAATGTAAGATAAAGCTAAACTGATACTATTAACTTTTTTTTTCTAAGGAAAAAAATAAAGTTTAACATAAAAAACATAAAAGTTTAAATATAAACATTTGTTAACAATAATGAAAAAAATAAACATTTGTAAAAATGATGTTAAGTTTAACCAATTCTCATTATTTAAAACTACATGTAGCACTTCTAATTGACAAAAATATTTAAAACTTTGTATTTACAAAACTAAATATGATAAATAGAACAGGTTTTGGTTTTTTTAAACTGTGGTTTTGGATTCTTTTTAATTTTCAATTTTCGACACTTGTGCCACCCTTATATGTGTGTGTGTGTGTGTGTGTGTGTGTGTGTGTGTGTGTGTGTGTGTGTGTGTGTGTGTATATAAATATATGACTAATTATTATTATTTTTTTTTAATTTTAAACTTTTTCCACTATCTGACATAATTTTTTTAGCCAAACCCCCTCCCTCTATCTTTATTATAGATTTATTTATTTTTATTATTTGTATTCAACTCTGTAAATGTATTTAATTTATTTGATTACATAAAGTGTATATTAGGGTGTCCTAAAAAACAACATTTTCAAAAAAATATATTCTGCCACCCCTGTAATGTGTTTTATATGATTAAAAAAAAAAAAAAACTGGTTTTGAAAAATTTTTGAAAAAAATATTTTTAGAGTGAATCTCAAGACCCTTGAAGATATAATTAAAGTTTTTAATATATAAAATAGTTATCATAATATATAATAGATATAATGGGTTTTTAATATATAAATATAAAATAGTTATCATTTTTGAAGATATAATTAAAGTTTTTAATAAAATAGTTATCATTTTTGAAGATATAATTAAAGTTTTTAATAAAATAGTTATCATTTTTGAAGATATAATTAAAGTTTTTAATATATAAAATAGTTATCATTTTTGAAGATATAATTAAAGTTTTTAATAAAATAGTTATCATTTTTGAAGATATAATTAAAGTTTTTAATAAAATAGTTATCATTTTTGAAGATATAATTAAAGTTTTTAATATATAAAATAGTTATCATTTTTGAAGATATAATTAAAGTTTTTAATAAAATAGTTATCATTTTTGAAGATATAATTAAAGTTTTTAATAAAATAGTTATCATTTTTGAAGATATAATTAAAGTTTTTAATATATAAAATAGTTATCATTTTTGAAGATATAATTAAAGTTTTTAATATATAAAATAGTTATCATTTTTGAAATTTTCATATGATTTTACTTTATTTGAGACCCAACATAATATAATTTTAAATAATTTTTTTTTTTTTGATAATATTAGGAACTCGTTATATCTTCAAGGGTCTTGAGGGAATCCTAAAAATATTTTTTAATTCAAAAATTTTTTAAACCAATGATTTTTATTATATAGAAGACATAAAGGAGGTGGCCGCATACATTTTTCTAAAACGATTTTTGGGACACCCTAATGTATATAAAAAATATAATTTTTTTCTTATTGTCTAAGGAGTGTTAAGGCCATTCAATTGCACCTTCAAGTCAAGTCCAACTGTTTGGCAGATCTGCTACAGCAGATGCAAATTAGATTTTTTTTCTGTTATAAGTATCTTTAATACCTATATACAGGCCAAACTCTCATTTCATGTATGAAAACACCAAGTTTAAAGTTTCACCAGATTTGAAAAAATTTAGTTTAATATTAATTTATATTATTTTATTTTATTACACTACTATATTATATATACTTACCCTCTATCTATATTATATATACTTACTATTTATATTATATATACTTACCTACTATATATACTATATGTCCCATTTAGTATTTAATGCAGTACCTAGTTCTTTTTTTTTTTAGAATATCGTTGCTACGACAAGAAAAATTTAAAACTAATTAATGGAAAGTACTTACTTGTATCTATTTTTACACATATATTTTTTTAACTTGTAGTTTGCATTTTTTGTACTCCCTTGGAACTATACAATACATATGATTGTGTGAGTTTGTTCAAATTATCTTTAATAATTTTCAGACAGACTTGAATAATTTAAATGTAAACACTGTAAAACCATGTGATTGTTTCACATGAAGATTTGTGAACAAATATATATCAATGGCCATGTGGATATATGAGTCATTTAAATTTAGAATAATATTTACATATATGTGGTTTTATAAAAATCACATATATGTGAACCGTGTAAACATGGTTATTGTAAATAATAAATTATAATTTTGTAAATCTCAAAAAAAGTTCAAACACTGATTAATGATTACTCCAAATTAATAAATACTTACAAAGATAAATTAAACATTTTAAAAAGGTGGTCCTTAAAAAAAACATAAGTTAACACTGATTTAATATAAATATGTTCTATAATATAAAATGACACTGGCCATCAAAAACTGTATTTTAAGATTTATTTTCAAGGTAGTTTTTGAAGAATTTATCAGATTCCTAATATTAAAAAAAAAGTATATTGCAAACTGTTTTTTATTAAGTGTTTTGACTCTCATTAACAAACTTTAATAAAATAATTCTTATTAACAAACTTTAATAAAATGGAAATATTTTTTGTTAAAGTTTTTAAATTTATTTGGCTGCCAAAACATTTGAATAATTTGGTTTCATAAAAAAAAAAAAATTCATTTTGCAGTCAATCAGAATAAAAGTGTCATTTGCATTTTAATAAAAACTCACAAATCTTGTGTTATTGTTTTTTGTCCTCATTTTTTTGAAAGTTTATGAGGCAAATGTTCCATCTAACAAGGCTTGGCGCGCCAAGGGAGCTTGAGCCAACCGTTGTTTTTACCTGGTTCTCTGTGACAGAGATCTGTAACTTATTGTCTGAGAGGTTAGCAACGGGAGGGGACAAATTTGTTAGATTTATACTTGAGAGGATTTGTTCTCTTATCAAACTTTTTTGTCAAACCTTTTAAAAACTGAAATTAAGAAATATCTTTTATTATTTTATTTTTTCAGAACTTTTATTATAACAGTTTTTTAATAAATAAACTTTGAGTTAATTAATTAAACTTGTATATTAGTTTGTATAAATAATGCATATTTTTAAAAAAAATGGTTATGTAAAAAGGTTACATAGAAATACCTGTTCCTGTTTCTAATTTTTTTATTTTATTTATGAACAATATAATTTATATATATTGACTCGTAGTATAGTTTAATAATTGTACCAAATTACATAATAATTTGTTTACTATTTCTGTTTGCTAATATTATTTTATGAATATGTATGTTTATGTATGTGTATATGTTTCTATTTAAAAAGGATTTAAGTATAATTTTGCAGTAAAAAAAAATTAATGTGAATGGAATAAAATGCAGAATGTTAAGAATGATATTTAAATTCTGAAGTTGAAAAAACCACAAAAAACAAAAGAAAATAACTTGTTTACAGAAATAAAAGGAACACATAGGTAAATTTATATATTTGATTAATTATACATTAACTCAGGTATTTATACACATTTGATTGATGTTCATTTAGGTGGTTACTACACTGGAGGGGATGTTTATTAATGAGCGGGAATATTTATTAATGAGCGGGAATATTTTCCCGCTCACCCCAAGCTTAAGACCCCCACCCACCTACATCCCCACCTCCCCACCCCCGTTATTTTAATTTTTATCTTAAATTAAAATAACGGGGATGTTAAACGTTATCAACAAAAAATGAAATCTTATAACTAAAAAAACATATATATATATATATATATATATATATATATATATATATATATATATATATATATATATATATATATATATATATATATATATATATATATATATATATATATATATATATCAGTCACTGATAAAAATAAAGTGTAATCAGGATTTAAAAACCTTTAAAAAAAATTAGGTTTTTATTTCTTTTCTCACTATAGTATAAAGCATATATAAGATTATTAAATCTTATTGAAATTATGATCAAATAGCTGTCAGTCAAATGCGCATTTGACTGCCTGCCACACTAGAGTTAAGTTTTTTCATTTATGTTCTATAAAAATTCCCACCCACCCTTTTATAAGCCCCACTCGTCTCCCTCTTCCCCCCCCCTATCCACACACACACCGCTACCACCACTATTTTAGATCTGGACTAAAATCTTCCGCCCTCTTTTATTAAACCTTCCCCCTCCTCCTCCCTCTATTTGTGTTAAGTACACTAGAGTACTATTTAAATAATTGTGCATAGAATTTCCTAATTTTTCTTTTTCATTTTTTAATTTTCAATTTTTATTCATCTACATTTACAATTTTTATTCATCTACTATTTAAATAATTGTGCATAGAATTTCCTAATTTTTCTTTTTCATTTTTTAATTTTCAATTTTTATTTATCTTTTATTGTAGATGAACATAATCATCTACAATAAAAATGTATAACTTTACTAACATCTCTAATATATGCTTAGTTGCTGAGGTATAGAAGAGAAGTGAGGTATAGGAGAAGAGTGTGGTATAGGAGAGGGCTAGAGGTATAGGAGAGGACTAGAGGTATAGGAGAGGACTAATGGTACAGAAAAGGTAAGGAGTGAGGTATAGGAGAGATAATATATAGAGAGGAGTTAGAGAAAGAATCAGTTTGTTCTTTTTACTTATATTTCCATTATTTTAATATATTTTCATTAATAACTAAAACTATTTTCATGTTTTTGTTTATAGCATTAATTTAAAATTAACAAAAAAAACTAATATCAGCTAAAAAAAATTATATCATTGATAATTTTTTATCAATTTAGGTTGTTAGAAGTTAGAATTAGTTAGAATTTATTCCTTCTGTATAATTCAAATAACTTTAAAAGTCAATATAGTACTTGGTAATCTGTATCTCCCAAATGCCTCAACATATACCCCAATGTATTAACTCAACATTATGCCAATTAGAAACCAACAATACACCAATGATACCCCAACAATTTTATAGTTTGGAAGGTTTATGTAGAGTTAATGCTGAAGAGGAACTTCAATATTCTTTAAAGGTACATGTGCTTCAAAGTAAAACTTAGGTTTCTTTAAAGGTTGTGTTTTCGGAAGAGATTTAAATTTATGAAAAATGTACTAATCATTTACTGTGTCAGCTTTTTGCATAAATATGTTAATTTCTCCATCTGTTTTTTTAAGTAGACTAGTTGATCGCAAAGTAATTACTTTCCAAACAAAGAGAAGAGTTCTTATTCTTTATATCCTTTTATGCTTAAAAGCTTAATGGTTCAAATGCTGATTAGTTGCTTGGAAATATAATTGATTAGATTCTTGAAAGCTTAATTGATTGGTTGCTTGAAAACTTAATTGATAATAAAATACTCAAATATCGTGCCCTCTTCCCAACATTTTTCAACCTTAACTTTTTGTGAGGACAATAACTTACTGAGTTTAATACTATTACTATTCTAAACTAAATTTAATTGACACACACCGACACACAACTTTAGAATTTATATTCATTGACATATACTGACACACGACTTTAGAATATATATTGACACACATACCAATACACACAACTTCAGAATGATTTTTGAATAACGTTGCTTTTGAAAAATATTTTTAGTTTATTTTCATAGCTTGATTCGACTTTTGGGTCTGCTTTCAACAGTTATTTTCTACAGTTATAGCAAATAATAGTAGAAAGATCTGCTTTTTTAATTTTTCTAAAAGTGTGCTTTTAAAAGGAGTGATTCGTTGTAGTTATATGTGATTTTCATGTTTAATAAACCTTTGACTTTAATACAACTTTTCCATTGTATTTTTCTAAAAAAGAACAATTTCTTCGACTCAGCATGCATTTCAGGGGCGAGTTTTATCACTCGCCAATGAGAGGGCTAAAAAGGTCTTTTAAAAATAAAAAAAAGGTTCGCATATATTCATTTATAAGTAACTTCTATTTTTATTTTTTTGGGCTTTAGTGTAATAATCAAGTTCATATACGTATAATTGTCAATTTCATTCGTCAGTATAATAGTCCAATTCTATATAATAGTCAATTTACAAAAGAATATTTCTGAAAAAATGTCCCAAGGGGGGGGGGGAGCTGCTACCCCCATGCTCTCCTTTCCCTTCCTAAAGCCCGCCACTGATGCATTTTTGATTCATAAGGTTTGTTTTTTTAACTAATTGATTTATCCGATGTTAATAATATCTACTTAAATATTTTAGCTTAGAACTAAAAGGTCTGAGGTTCGATGCCAGTTCTTGCCACATTTGCAACATTGGCATAAAAAGAGGTGTGAACTTCCTAGTTAAATCCTCTTTCGCTGTGCTCTGTAAAAAGGCTGTAATAAGGCTGTAATAAGGCTGCAAAGACTTCTTGGAGCACCTTAATTAATAACACACACAAACACAAAAAATCTATTTTGTTTAAATTATATTTAATATTAATAATGTGGGAATAGTTTGTTTTTATTACTATTAACATTAAGATCAGCTGATTTTTTAATAAATTTATTACTTAAAAAAGAAAGAAAAAAAGATGGGTTTTTTTCCATTTTATTTTGGGGGAGAGGGTCTAATGTTGACGTTATTTTATAAAGAGGGTCTTGAAGTTTGACAAGTTATTGATAAGGGGGAGGGAAATAGGTAAAAATCGACAAAAAGTAGTTGACATTTTAATGGACTGTATGTTTGATCCATTTCCTCAACCAGGGTGTGCAACTAGTGCAAATATAATAAAAGTTGCTCCAGGTCCAACAACACCAATTTATCAACTAGATACATCAACGTCAATTTATCAACTAGATACATCAATTCACGACAGGAATTAAAATTTATACATTTCAGCTATTTTTCAGTAGTTCTTTAGTAAGTATAAGTTTGAAAATGAATTAAAGTGACAAGTGACAAGATTTAGATTACATTGAATTGCATTCACAGGTTTGTTATTATTAGCAGCAGTTTACAGATCACATAATGAATTTACCAGAAGTTTGTGGAATGTAAAGTTACATTTCCGTACAGCAATTTTAATGAAAAAAAGCTTCCAAAAAAAATATAGCCCCGGCCCCAAGAAGTCTTAATCCGCCACTGGCTGCAATTCATAATCCCTTTTTACCTAATTAAACCAAACTATTAATGAAAATAAAAGGAATTTTTAAATTATTAGCAAGTATGAGGTAACTTGATACAGCATTTGTGGGGGGGCCCTAAATCTGTAGAATAATACTCTATTGAGTTATAAACAATTCTAAAAATCATTTCTTTTAATATTTACGGGAGATTAATGTAAATATAATTCTAGAAGATGACTTTCGATACAAAACCATTAATTATTGACGCTTAGGAATGACATTTAAAAAGATAAATTGTCTGGATATCTGAAATGCGATTAGGACCATTGGATGCATTATTATTTATAATTATTAATTTGTTTGTCTTTTAAGTAAAAATCTGTCTTTTCTCTGAATTTTTTATTTTTTATTTACTTTTTTAATAATGCTCATAGTTTGTATCAATATAATTTTTTAGTTTTACTTTAATTACTCTCGAACCCCTAATTTAATAAATAATTTTTGATAAAAAATTCATGAAAAAACTCCCCCCCCCTTCCTTTTTTTTTTTTTTTTTCTAATCAAACCTCCCCGTTTAGTAAATCTGGATTGAAAATCCCACACCCATTTATTCCCACCCCTCCTCCCTTGTATTAAGGACTCGAGAGTAGTCTCGCATGATTAACCGGTTATCATAGTGCCACCCTAGTCTTTTCAAGAAAATCAGCAGGTTTAAAAACACTTTTTTATGTTTTTTAAGAACATACAAAGATGTTTTAAGGGTTTTAATAAGAAAAACATTAGAAATTACTATTTATAATGTTTGGGTTTTTTCGGACATGTTTAGTTAAAAAGTTAAATTTTTAGCAGGTTGGTTTTTAGTAAAAATTATCTGTTTGATCAAAGTCTGATGAGACCTGCTAAACCGCCGAGACCAAAGATGTAGCTTTACTTGATACAAATCGGTGTTTTAGGTTTTGGAAGAATTGTGCCTATTTTTTAGACAACATTATCATCAACATCAGTGGCCGTAGCAGCCCTTTTGACTAGATGATCCTCAGGGAGATTGGATTAAAGACGTCGTTTTGTGAGTTTAAGCTATTTAAAAAAAAAAATATGTTTAAAAAGTGTTTTAAAGCACTTTACGAAAATATCTAATCTATCCTACTGAGAAATTTTGAATAATTTGTTAAACCTTTGGCCCGCAAGAATTTAAAAAGTGTTTTTAAGCATCTAAAGAAAATAAATTGACCTATCACTAAATTGCGAATAGTTTTTTAGTTTTTAAATGATACTTACCTCATTCTTAAAAATTTCTGTTAAAATGAAACGATTTGTTCACTTGTTTAGAAAACTTGGTAAAAAAAAAGGTTGTTAAAGAGATGGGTATGCACAGCTAACGTTGAGCTTGTTTTGCCAGTATAGAGAACATATTTTTCTTTTCTTTTTTTTCCACTATTTTTATCGCCAAAAGTTTTGTTTCAGTTTTATTTTTTAAGTTGATGTAGCATTTGTGTAAGTATACATTTTTTTTCTTGACATCTTGAAACCGATTGGTGTCCACCCGCTCAATGCACGCTTCTATTAAAAAATGACTTTAATTTTAGCCCGAACATTTTTTTTTTATAACGGTTTATATTCAGTCCTGTAAGGTATGCTGGTTGGAAATTTATGGTAAATTGCGGAAAATTGATTAGTTACCAAGTAAGACGTTATAATTTATAAGTCTTTGTCATAAGTTATCTTTTATTTTAGTTAACTTAATTTTTAACTAGACGTAAATCTTTGTGATATTTTTGTAAATAGAACTTCGGCAGGAGCACTACTTATCACTACTTTTTTTTAACTAATTTACTATCAAAAGATTCTGCCAGAAACCACTATTTAACCGACTAAATTGACAAATAAACTTTAGAGCTTTTTACATAAGTTCCTTTAGCAATGATGCTTTATGAAAGTTGATGGCTTATTACTATTAGTGCCATTTAGAACTGCATTATGGATCAGTTATAATTAAGTTTTCTTGAATAATATATGAATAAATATCTGTTTTAACTACACTATCTAAAAAAATGTAAATAATTACAAAATATTCTATATAGATATTTTAAGAATATATGTATATTTATTTTTTATATTTTAATATTTTTATATTTTAAGATTTTATATATATATATATATATATATATATATATATATATATATATTAACAATTGATCTTGCAAAACCTAAAAGCTACCTCTACTTGCCAGTTGCTATGACTCCCAAAGAACAAGCAATTTTCTATCATGCTCGAGAGTTCTTTTGGTTCCACGGCACTTCACATCGGTATTCAGCAAACTAATTTTTTTCCCTTTCTTAATTTATGTAGCTTTTATAATTTTGCTAGAAGTTTGAGACGATTAAGGATTTTAAAATAAAGATTTGTTTCCTCGACCGCCGATTGGCTACTCTAACAATCGGGGAGTCAAAGAAATGTTATTTTAATGGGTGGTCATTAATTTTATTTTGACGTTACATTTAAAAATCTTTAATGTAACATTAAATATTTTTAATTGAAACATCAAAACAACACTGATATGTAATTTGATCTATAAAATTATGTTATTAATTAGAAAATATAGAAAATTTTTAGATTATAAACATAGTATTGGTTATCGAATATAGATAACTTTCAAATTATATCAAAATATGCCGGAATATAAATAAATTATATAGACAACTTTCAAATTATACTGGAATACAAATTAATTTAAAACAATGTTTAATTTAAAAAATAAAATCTTTTTTTTTTTTTTAATTAAAAAAAAAACATTAAAATAAAAAGTTTTTAAAATTAATTTTTCGCTTTAAAATAAAAATATTTATACATTTTGATTGTTTACTGATACAAAAAATGTTGATTTTTTTGTTGCTGTTGTTAAAAAGATTATAATCATCAGCGACATTATTTTAAACATTCATTTGCCTGCGAAAAATTCCGCTGTTTGTTTGCTTTGTATATATTTCGATAGCGTTCATTTGAAATTATGATGACTGCGTCGGCAAAAATAAAAAAATGTCGAACCAGTAAACTATGACAAAAATTGGAAATTTTAAATGAATTTTAAATTTTCTTTATGAACCGATTTAAAAATTTATTCGCAGATTAAACTCAATTTTAATCAGTGAGTAAATAACCAAAAACCAGTTTTTGAAAATTAAATCAAATTCTCAGGGTTAAAGATATGTTATCCATATACAATTTCCGTCATCATATCTTTTAATTAGTTTTCTGTCTGTGTGGTAATTATTCTTGGTCCTTTATGTATTGAACTTCTCATCAGCGAGGAGAACTGTGAAGCTTTTCTGGTCATTTTTCTTTTTATATCTTTATGCATATATGCATATACGAATGGGTTAACAGCGGCACTGCAAGCACTTAAAGCGTATAAACCTTCAATGATACGTTGGTAGACCGCTTTGTTTGAAGTATATACTGGGTTGTTATAAATTTGTTGGATTGCTACTATTGAAAAAGCTATTGTATAGGGTAGTGTGAGAATAAAGAAGATCACTGCTATGCTTCCAAACATAAGCATCATCGATTTATTCATTTGTTTTCTTCGCAAAAACGAACGTTTGTTTTCCCCTGGAATTTTCATTCTTTTTAACTTGTATATCGAAATTCCATAAACGATCGCTAAAGTAATTCCGGGCAGAAATGATGCAATGATCTGATGCGATGCATAATATGCGAATTTTATTTCTTTGGATGACCATTTGTCGTAACAGGAGTTATCGTTTCGGTCAATGTTAAGTGCGTTGCAATATGGTGCCACTGATGCAGTAGCGATTGACCAGACAACAATTATTTTCCACACAGCGCTTATTCGATAATGTGATACAGTTGTGGTTCGACTTAAAACTCTATGAATAGTTATTAATTATAAATAAAAAAAATCCGTACGTTCGCTTTGTAAGCGAGAGGCAATATATATATATATATATATATATATATATATATATATATATATATATATATATATATATATATATATATATATATATATTTAATAAAATTTTAAGCATAATTAATCGTCCGTTTTTATTTTGCGTTGCACAGTTTGTTTTAAAGTCAAATTGAGTTTTGTTAAATTTTAATAACAAATTAATTTTGCTCAAATGATTTTTTATTTTTTTCTCAAACTATTGGCCGCCAATGTATATGAAAGTATATATGTAAGTTAGCTGATTATAAAAAGTATATATTTAATAAGGCCGTAAACAACTTTTTTAGATGTTTGAGCTAAGCATCTTTAAAACATGAAAAAAAAAAACATATTTGGGTATCTTCATATATATGAAAAACAAATGTAAAAGAACTTATGTAAAAGATTGCGAAATCTTTTACATAAGTTTATGTAAAAAGATTTCGCAAAACAACAAAAACCCAAAAACGTTAGTCCCCTCTTCCTCCCAGCTCCAAATATGAGGGAAATGGGTTAAAATTGTTTTTTTGCAAGTATAAACCAAAATTTGTATTCACCAACAGATTTTGAATTTCATTTATTTTTTTCTTAGTTTTATGAAATTATGACCATGCAAAATTTATACCCCCTCAATTTGGATGGGGGAGGGGGCTTTAAACTTTATGAGGTCATAAAAGCAAAAAGAGATGATTGAATCAAATTTGAAATTCATCGATGAATATAAATTAATTCTAATATTCAAAAAAAAAATTGGGGGGCTGGAAGGGGATCTAACGTTTTAGTGTTTTTGTTGTTCCTAGTCTCTAATCACCGCAATTTTTTACTTAACTTCCTTATTCCTCATATATATGAAAATACCTAAATATGGAGTTTTTTTTCATGTTTCGAAGTTGCTTAGCTCTAACATCTAAAAAAGTTGTCTACGTCCTTGGGTAAGTTAGCTGATTATAAAAAGTATATATATATAAGTTAGCTGATTATAAAAATAGAAAAATTACCTTAATCTTGATACTGCAATTATAACCATCATGAAAGTTGAAACCATCATTGTTAAATGATTCATTGGAACAAAAACTTTGCAACCAAACCGACCCAAAAGGTACCATTCTTTGCCATCTGTAAGATAGTCTTGCACGGATACCATTGGTAAAAATATAGCTGATAACAAATCAGCTACTAACAACGATATAACATAAATGTCATATTTTTTTAAGGGTTGTTTGCGTTTAGCTAATGTATATAATATACCAAGGTTACCTGCTATTCCTAAAATTAGAATTGCGCCATACGTAACGTATAGTACTAACTTTGTTGGCGTTGTTATATCTAGAACTGTCGTATTACCGAAGGGAGTTGTGTTAAGAAATCCAGCGCTATATTTCGGAACCGTAGTCAGCGAACGACTTGAAAAATTTGATTTGTTGATAATATCCATTTCTTATAGGCTTTCTATAATATGCAACAAAGAGTTTGTATTCCAACTTCTTTAAGTTATATATATGCATTGGGGTGTAATTTTGTTTTAGTTGTTTTATATATGAGGGTGTAAGAGAAAATTCTTTATTTCGCTACTATTGATATTAAAATTTATATTTTTTCCTTAGCTTTCATAAAAAATAAGTTAATTAACTTTTTTGCTTTTAAAATGTTTTACTTTTTGTAAGTTTTAACCTGGCGACATAGCAATTATATATCTTGCAATTAGAGATTATATGAAGAGAAAAGTCCTTTATATTTTCTTTTTTTTTTTTTAATCAATTTTATAAGAAAAATTTCTTTTGAATTGATTTCGCCTAAAATTTTTTTTTTTTTTTTTTACATTAAATATTTATGATGCATGACGATGAGTCGTTCCGAACAGTAGTTTTTATTTAAGCAGATTATTTTTTACAATCGTATGCTACTTCTTTGGTTTTCATTCCTTTCTGATTACCTCCTTACAAAATGGAAACTCTAGTAAGAGTACTTATTACATTTACATGTTTGAATTACTTTAAAACAAGTAATGATTAATGAAGTATTTTTTCTTTTTTGAGCATGCATGTAAATTCATAATATTTGGTTATGAAGATATGTAGTTATGAAGATTTTCGTTGGTTTCTATTCGGTAGAATAAAACAAAAAAACAAGAAATATTCCTAAGTAAAAATTTTTTAGACATTTTCTTCATGTGTCGCTTTTTAAATAAAATTGCAACTAATGTTTCTTACTTTGAAAAGTTTTTTTTTAATATATATATCATATTGTTATAGTATATATCATATTGTTGTAGATATCATATATTCTATTTTATATAATAGATATTCTATTTTGTTTCAAATTTAAATAAAATCTACTTGAATAATAGTTTGAGATGAGAAATGCATTCTTTTCGACAAAAGCTAAATTTAGTAATTTAAAGAACATTTGAATATTTTCTTTTTAGAAAATAATAACAATATGACAGGAGTTGAAACAAAAATATTTCTATCGGCAGAGATAATGTCATTTCTTAAAACAATACTAAATGACAGTAACGCCGCTACTGCTCTCAAAGCAAAAGTTAGAGTTGCGTTATCGCAGCCGAACACGGAAAAACAATCAATCCCATATGATGTTCTCACAGAAGCTCATCAGTTCTATAGTACATTTAAATGCCTAAGCACGAATGCTAACTTTATCGATTTGCATAAATTAGTAAAAACATCAAAAATTTTTGTTGAAAATATTCCCGAACCTGTTCGATCGCCAGAATTGATAGATCGATTGGAGCGACTTACCCGAGAGCAAAATCAACGCGAATATGATAAAATGGTTAAAAACGTTAGAACTAAAACAGAAAATTTCAGTCAAGAATTAGGCCTTGCGATTCGGACCACTGGTCAGCAAGTGATGAGCATTGTGAACTTTCTTTTATCCGTGATTGCGACATTTGCATTTGCCTATTTTTCATCTCAATTTGCATTTTCTGGTGATTTAGGCATGCGAATTATTTTTTCTGTTATTGTGGCGACTATAGTGGCTCTGGCTGAGCTTTATTTTATGGCGAAAGTTGAAATTTGATTTTTTTTTTTTTTTTTTTTATTCCGCAATAAAAAGTTGTTTTTCCATGACGGAAACTTAAAAATGTATAATATTAAATGTATGATCTAATATATTTTTGTATTTACTGAACATATGCAGTAATGGTTTACATGTTATAATTGCATATAAAAAAAATATTTTTAGTTTCTTTTTGATTATTGACTAACGTCAAAGCTGGCATTGCTTAATGACTTATAGTCTTTTATTTACCTTTTTTAAAATTCCGGTAATGTGTTACTTAATATTAACTTTACCTTTTTTAATTTCTGGTAACGTATTTTTATTTGTTTAACGTATTGTTATGTATTTTAATTTCTAATAATGTGTTTATTAACTTATGTCTGCAAATTAATTTATGTTTTCGTTATGTTTATTTTGTATATATTTTGATAAAATAGTAACAGTATTTTTCAGAAAACACTTTTGTTTCTGATTTCACGCTCGAACTGTAAAGAAAAAAAAAAAAATTTTTTTGTCTTTGTTTAAAACCACTCTTTTTATCCAACATTTAGAGCATTGCTGAGTATTAAATTATCTCATTATTTTATCTAATTATCTCATTTTAAATTATCTCATTAGATTATCTTATTAATTTCAATTATCTCATTAAATTATCTTGTTACAAAACTTCCATTCATTCTTCCATCTCCTTGGAGCAGGGCCTTTGAGAGCGTCAATGAAGCCCGGGTTAAAAATGGAGAACGGCGCCCCATTTCAAAGCAGGAAATTGCAAAATTTAAAGTTTAAGAACACAAAAAGGTTATTTCTGTGTATATCTGATCAAGCACATTGTTTTTTTTGCGTTACTATTAATTCTCTAGATTGAGAAACGGTTTATAAATTAAAACTGACACATGAATCAAAACATTGGTTTTAAAACCAAAAACGAAAAGTCAATCAATAAAATTTAAAAGAAAGGCGTTTAAAAATGAGTTTTTGAGCTTTTCTGACCGCCAAAATAACAATGACATTGTCGTACGTTTTTAGACAAGTCATCTTGAATTAAAATAGTCAAAAGAACTGAGGGAGTTTTTTACAATATTCAGTTTATTAATTTATCGTTCGTCCAAACAACTGACATAGGAATAGTGTTAAAAATCTGGAGCAGGATGCAAATGTGTGGAAAAAAACTTTCAACCTTCTTCTCGAAGAATAAATTAAGTAGCTGCAGTGGATTTCCTTGCTTGAAAATTAATTTGCAGGCATTGTTAAAACGGCGATCTTCAATAAAAAAAATTTTCTTGACATCTTTCGGAAAAAAACGTGCAAGTTTTCAAGCTTTATTTTAGAGGAAAGATCACCATTATCCGAGCAGACAAATGAAAACATATTACCAACCATCCTGCTTGCCTCAAATCTAAAATCAATCTGCTGGATCAGGCTATCTAAACATAAATTAAATACGTTCACTTCAATTTCTTTCGTTTGGTTGTCGTGGAAATGTGCTGCGTTTAATGTTTCATCGTGAAAGCGCTTCAGTTTACGCTATTTTTAAGTAGCGAGTTCAGTTTCGAATCCTAGTGTTCCAGCTGCAGCCACTGCCTTGTAGAAAGTTTGCAACCAAGATCCCCTAATCTGTTTAAAATCTTCTAGCAGCGATCCCATCGAACGAAGCTCGTCATCAGTGGTGAGGGCTTTAGATTTTAGAAGACGATCAACGTGGTCAACATCAGTATGGGTTTGTACCAAATCTTAATTAGCTATACCAACGTTGATAACCGTTTTTTAAGCTGGTCTGAACTGCTCATTGGTCAGATCCAGGTTTTCCATGGCATGTTTAAGAGCTACCAACATTTCTCTTGACATGTGGTTTGATTGCGTTGATACGAGCGCTCCACCTTTTTAAGTAAGTCTATGCAGTAAAACTGTTACTTCAATGAGAATCTTCCGTTGGGCAAAACTTGCATTGAAAAATAAAGATAAAAGCAAGACATTTTCAAAGAATACTTTGATCTCAATAGCTGGTTTAACTGCGAGCACACCAGCCAAATTCAGACTATGAGCGTTACAGAGAACGTACAAAGCTTCTAAATAATTTTGCTTTATTAATGCTTGAGCTTCCTTGTAACCACCTGACATATTGATTTATTTGATCCATTATCGTATCTCTGACCGCGACAGTTTCGAATATCCAAACCTAGCCTTGCAATCATATCAGTGATAAGCTTGGCTATATCAACTCCTTTCTTTTTCTCTACAGCTTCAACACACATTTTTTTCAACACACACGTTCTTTAGTTTACCAACAATTATTATCTCGAATTAACGAATAGCAAAGATTATTCACTCATTGATTTTACAGTTTGCAGTTATTAGTGCTATCAGCGTTGACTTCTTTAAAGTGAAATTTAATCAGTTACCATTATAACTACTACAGCGCATCATCAAACAAGTTTTCCGGCGCCCCTTTAAGCTTGGCACCTCAAAGGCTCTGCTTTTAAGAACTACATAACTTTTTATTAGTTGTTTAACTTGAAGACAGAAAGTATATAATATCGATAAATTATTTAGGGCTGCTAGTTGCTTTTAATTAACGAGAGTTGTTTTGACTATTAATGGTTATTAAATGATCAAAGACTCTGTTGCTAACTCCAACGCAGTGTGATTTGAACCTTAGCAAAGAATCAATAATGTTTATTTCATCAGAAAAGTTGACCAGTTGGAGGTTTACACACCGTTAGCAATCAGCTGTTCAATAGTTTTATTTTTTTAAACAAACATTATTACCGAAGACTTTACTTAAAATCTCGAGGACCGCGGCTATGGAATTCAATCCTTAAAAAAGAAACAAAAAACATGAAGTCATCAAATCTCTTTAAAGCAGCTGTCAAACAGTACCTATTTAACTTGTGTGACGTCAACATACTCTCCTACATTTAGAGATCAAATTAATAATAACTAAAACGAACTTATTTTTGGATGACCATTAACGATGATTATATAACAATACAAATAGTTTTTCTATTCTATACACATCTATCAGATCGTTACGGACAAGGCTTTGTTTTTTACGTACAAGGCTACTTATGAATTTTTAATGTCACGTTAAGCTCACGTGAAACTTATTGCAAAGTTGCAAATGAAAGGGGCTTGATGATTAGACTGCAGTCTTCTACTTGCAAGTTAATTGTATGTAAAATATATAGTGACGAAGTATATATAAAAATATATAGTGACGAAGTATATATATAAATATATAGTGACGAAGTATATATATAAATATATAGTGACGAAGTATATATAAAAATATATAGTGACGAAGTATATATATAAATATATAGTGACGAAGTATATATATAAATATATAGTGACGAAGTATATATATAAATATATAGTGACGAAGTATATATAAAAATATATAGTGACGAAGTATATATATAAATATATAGTGACGAAGTATATATATAAATATATAGTGACGAAGTATATATATAAATATATAGTGACGAAGTATATATAAAAATATATAGTGACGAAGTATATATATAAATATATAGTGACGAAGTATATATATAAATATATAGTGACGAAGTATATATAAAAATATATAGTGACGAAGTATATATATAAATATATAGTGACGAAGTATATATATAAATATATAATGACGAAGTATATATATAAATATATAGTGACGAAGTATATATATAAATATATAGTGACGAAGTATATATAAAAATATATAGTGACGAAGTATATATATAAATATATAGTGACGAAGTATATATAAAAATATATAGTGACGAAGTATATATATAAATATATAGTGACGAAGTATATATAAAAATATATAGTGACGAAGTATATATATAAATATATAGTGACGAAGTATATATATAAATATATAGTGACGAAGTATATATATAAATATATAGTGACGAAGTATATATATAAATATATAGTGACGAAGTATATATATAAATATATAGTGACGAAGTATATATATAAATATATAGTGACGAAGTATATATATAAATATATAGTGACGAAGTATATATATAAATATATAGTGACGAAGTATATATATAAATATATAGTGACGAAGTATATATAAAAATATATAGTGACGAAGTATATATATAAATATATAGTGACGAAGTATATATATAAATATATAGTGACGAAGTATATATATAAATATATAGTGACGAAGTATATATATAAATATATAGTGACGAAGTATATATATAAATATATAGTGACGAAGTATATATATAAATATATAGTGACGAAGTATATATATAAATATATAGTGACGAAGTATATATAAAAATATATAGTGACGAAGTATATATATAAATATATAGTGACGAAGTATATATATAAATATATAGTGACGAAGTATATATATAAATATATAGTGACGAAGTATATATATAAATATATAGTGACGAAGTATATATAAAAATATATAGTGACGAAGTATATATAAAAAGAGAAAATCTGTTAAGAGTAATTATTTTCTATTGGTTCAATATTTAAAATAAAAAATTTCAAAAATCATATGAAACAGAGTATTCGAATATCTATATACGAAAATAAATCACTTTATAACAATCAATTTGGTTTTAAAAGGATAATTCTACTGAACATACAATTATCCAATTGATGCGTAAAATCATTTTTATCATTATGAAACTCGCAGTGTTTTCAAAACTCACGTTGGAAGTTTTATTTGACTTTTACCAAGCTTTTACCACATTTTGATTAAGCTTTTACCACGTTTTGATTTTTAAACTTGAATACTATGGAATATTCAATAAAATTTTAAAATGGTTTAAAAGTTACTTATCAAATCGAAAATAATTTTTTGATAACCAATGACAGTTATCAAACCAATTCTCTTAATATAACCTGTGGAGTTCTACAATGTTCAATTCACGGACCTCTCTTTTTCCTAATTTATATAAATGTTTTGAATAAAGCTTCAAAATTAACGACAGATGCTTAGAGATGTTACTAACTTATTCCTTTCTAAAAGTGATATCTTTAAGTGATTGGGTTAAATGTAATAAATTAACCTTGAATACCAATAAAACAAAATAAATTTTATTTTACTCGCAATTAAAAAAGCGGCTTTGCCATCAAAGTTACGTCAAATCTTTATTGATCAAAAGTTTAATCCAACTTTGTTATTCATTAATAGTTAATTAAATTATGCTAATATAGTCAGAAACGTGCAATCCGTAAAATAAATTTAGCAATTCGTTTCGCTCACTCAAAGCATTATTTTATTGAAATAAGAATTCTAAATATATACGAGCTAAAAAAATTTTCCCTAGCCTTTATTAAAGATCTTTTTACTTGGAAACCAATCAATAAATAGAGAAAGGTCGTGTACCTTAAGCCTCCTTGTACCTATACCCTCTTGTACCTCCTTAAACCACCCCAATTTATTTAAAACTAAAAAGTTCTAATTT